AATTCCTTAATTTCCTTCCCATTTCTAGTGTTAGAAAATTATTCAAGGAGCCCTTGTTCTTTTTTTTTTTTTTTTTTAGATTGTTATTAGAAACCAAAATCTGGGCACAAGATGTACTCATTGCTATTAAAGTGTCATGCCTTCTAGGTCCTCTTAGATGACATAAGGATATGTGTCTTTATACTAACTCATGTATATACACATATATAAATTTCTGTATGTAGCCATATGACCCTATATTAACCTAAGTATGTGTTCAAGCTGATTATTTCCAACTCTTATTTCCACATGGATCGTTCTAGCCTTGATTATCTGTAATCTCACAGTCTGCCAGCAAGAAACCTGATTCCACAATCTGCCATCTATTTATTTAGTTGTTGAATTCCAGTATATATGTATAGTGGTATCAGAATTGTTAACCCACAGCCCTGTGGGAAATGATGTTCTCAAATAGAGTATAGTGTTTATGTAGTCTTTAAGTCTTCACTTACATGCAAAATTATTTAGTTCAGCACCCTCACAATTTTTAGTAACTCTAAATGTCCTTATTTGTTCCATTTCTCCCTATTCAGGCATAGCTATGTGGTATTGAGTTAGGAAACAAATTCAGGTGGTAGACATCCCACTACATTCAGGATGTCTGATGACTAAGCAGTTTTCCCCCTTCTTCCTTCATGCCCTGATCAAAGTCGATATGTCTTACTCCTTCCTTTACCACAATTCTCCCCCAGGAGCTGCCTCACCTCATGTGGAAATAGCTTTCTTTAGGGCTATTAAAAGATTTTATCTGATGTATCCAAACATATCTGTGTACTAATTAGATACAAGCTGTGACCCTTCCTCTACAAGCTTCATTTTATTTTGCTTAATCCTCATACAAATAGTTCCTAAAATTTATTAAGTGTTTACTGTTGTCAGATATTTTCTTTTTTTTTTTTTTTTATTTTTTTTTTTAGAGGCATGTTTTATTTATTTATTTATTTGTTTGTTTGTTTGTTTTTGTTTTTTTGTTTATACATGCACTGGGTACAGTCAGAAGCGCGGGAGGGTGAGAGAATTCACCAGAGCCAGAGTGGGGAGCAGAGCAGGCAGAAGGACCGAAGTACACTGCTGAGGGGAGCAGCGGGCGGCAGGAGAGGTCTGCGCGCCATGTGGGACCCTCCTCCAGTGGCCGGGAGCAGCCGGGGATCGAACCGGCGCCGCAGAGGCCGCGGGCAGCTTCGCAACCCAGCGCTCAACCGCTGCGCCACCGGGGAGGCCCATGTTGTCAGATATTTTCTAACTGTATTAGAAGTGTTAACTTGATTAGACCTTAAAATCCTATGAAGTTGTGTCTATTAATAGTCTGCCATTTTAAATTTTATTTTACTATGCTGCCATTTTGAAGATGGAAAACAAGGCTCAGAGAGGTTAAATAACTGCTCAATGTCATACACTTCAAACTATGTGCTCTTCTGCTATACAATGCTGCCTCAATTTACGTGGACTCTAGATCTGAATCTCAGATTATTTGGAAAACAGCAATTAAATAACAAATTTAGGGCCTCCCTGGTGGTGCAAGGGGTTAAGCACCACACTATGAAGCAATCGGCAGCCTCTGCAGCACGAGTTTGATCTCCGGCCGGCCAGGAAGCAACCCACATGGCGCAGTAGACCTCTCCTGTCTTGCCCACTGCACCCCTCAGTAGTGTATTTCAGTCAGTCTGCCTGTTCTGTTCCCCACTTTGTCTCTGGTGAATCCTCTCACACCCCCACACCTCTGGCCTGTACCTCAACTCTTGAATGTATAAGTAAATAAATCTTTAAAAAAGATAACAACTTTACATGTCTTCTATTTTGTCTTTCTTAGAGGATATTTTTTAGAATTCAGGCCATTTTTGAAGATAGAAAAATACAAGGAAGTCTAAATCCCAGTGAATCGTATTTCTTGCATAACTTGTCACATATCTTGCTGAATAACTTCTGGTGTGCTAGAGCTCTTTAGTCAAAGTAATAGAGCAGAACATTTAAAAAGAGAAGAACTATTGGGCCTCCCTGGTGGCACAAGGGGTTAAGACATAACCTATGAAGCTATCTGCAGCCACTGTAGCATGAGTTCGATCCCCCGGCCAGCCAGGGAGCAACCCACATGGTGCAGCAGACCTCTACTGACTCACCCGCTGCTCCCCTCAGCATTGTACTTTGATCAATCTGCCTGTTCTGTTCCCCACTCTGTCTCTGGTGACTCCTCTGACCCCCCCCATGCCTTTGGCCTGTACCCCAGCTCTTGTGTGCATAAATAAATAAATCTTAAAAAAAAAAAAAGGAGAAGGAATGTTGCTGCAGATGACTAGAAGCTGCTTTCCTAGTTCTGTTCTTCTCCCATTCTTGGCCGTTTTTTGAGATGCAAACACATTTTAAGTCAATAAATATGTGTCAAGCACCTAATTTGTGCAGGCACTGCACTAGGCACTAGTGAGTACTAGCGAAATCGAGTAAGGGATCATTCCACAACTCAAGGAGCTCTCAGCTTGGTGTGGAAAGAACAATGTGTATCTGAAATACAATTTCATATAATATGTAAAGGAACTAAAATGATCTCGTTAGCCCAGTCTGATCTTCTGGGGGCTTTATTTTCTGTACTATGCTTGATTCATCTGAACATTAAAATGATTCTCTGGTGAGTATCAATGACTTTAGGCATCTTGAGAATATTCTGAGACTCAGAGGGTGGACACTCTGGCTTCTAAAGTAGGTGTGGACAATCCACATTATAGAGCATTACAGGTTGACTTTGGGCCTCTGCAGATGACTGGAGTTTCCAGTCAGCAGAGGGCCAGAAATGGTGACTTGTGCTTGCTTAGTTCCTGCTTAACACTCACTGAGGGACATCCTGAGCTCCACCTAATATTCCTTTGGCCCCCAGACTTCCTTATCCATTTGTAGGCTGGAATTTCCTGGCTTCCTCCTCAGCAGCCCTTTATCTCCCCAGCCTAATTAGTAGATTGGTGGGAGGTAGCCTCAGAAAGGGAAGGCTTTTCCCTGGGTACCTATTCTTTGCAGTAATCCAGCCATTTGGGCTTTAATTGGCTTCAGAGGGCCCCTCAGTGCTTTGTCCTCTGTGCATCAGGAAGTTGACTACTTAATAAACCAAATGGGAATCTTTCAAAAATGCAACGTTAGCTTTTTCTTAGAGCACAACTTGAATCACGCAAAGGTACTACAATCATTGCGAGAAACGGTCAGAAACAAAGCTGTGAAGCTGACAAGCTTGTGTCAAGTGCTCTAAATTTTAGGAGTCCTCTTTTATAGTAGGGTCTTTCATAGGCTGGTCCCTGGGTCCCCTCGCTCAAGCTCCTTCCCTAGGGTTTTTCTTTCCATGCCTGACCCATGCTTTGACCCATTTTTAGTGATTCATTCTATCAGAATGCATATGCCCTGTGTTTTGTTTCTAGGAGGTTTATTCACTTAATTTGGGAAAGCATTTTATGGTAAGATTAGCAGCCAACAGCTGCAATGTAAGCCAGCACTTACAGGCATTTTGCTCAATCTTTTATACAAATTCATTAAATTCTGTCAATAACCCTATAAGGTTGATTGTTCTTACTATATCCATTATACAGTTGATGAAACCAAGGCCCAAAGGTTAAGTGACTTGCCTAAAATTGCACAGCTCACAAGAAGTAGACCTGGGATTTGAATCTAGTTTGTCTGACACTGGATCCCATGATCTACAAAACTCCAGATTGTATTGAAAACTGTCTTATGACGAATAATGACCTAGTAGCATACTACTGATAATAATAGTACTAGCCCAACATGGTGTTTCTCACACTGCAGTTGCCTGTTTACTTGTCTTTTGCCCTTGACAGGTGGTAAACTCCTTGTGGGGCAGTTACTCATTTCTTCTTCCCGGTGCCAGGTGGAGTGCTAGTTGAATGAGGAGAGACTGGAGGCAGAAAGACTAGGAAAGGATGTAAGAATTAGAGAGGAGGGGCTATTGAAGAAGTCCAGATATGTTAGAGGATAAGAGTCTGGATAATGACAGAAGCTGTGAGATACTTTGAAGGGCAGACATGCCAGTATAATGTAGATGAAAGGGTAAAGAATTAAGAGGAATTAAATATTTCTATGTTGGAAAAATCAGAAAATAGGCACTACTAATAAATAATTACTCTTGGTTCCCCAGTGGAACTCAGGACCAGCTAAGAAGTAAGACACGATAAATGAATGAAGACCAAGTTGCATGTACCCTGTAAAGAATGTGGATTTCCCCACACAGTAATTGACCCACAAAAACAACTGCAGTCTTCCACACCAGGCATACCGCTCCTTCTGTAAGTGTCCCAACAGGCTGAGAGCAGGGAAATCATTCTCTTAGAGCAGGCGTATTTGAAAGAGAAAGCCTCAGAACTGGGGTCATCCAACTTTTTCTGCTGAAGTCCAGCTGGTAAGTATTTTGGAGCTTTGCAGGCTGTGTGGTTGGTTTCTGTCACAAGTACCTGGCTCTGCTTCTGGGGTGTGAAAGCAGCCATAGGCAATAGGCAAAGGGTCAGGTGTGTCTGTGTCCAGTAAAACTCGAGTTATCAAAAGAGGTAGTGGACTGGGTTTGAGTCATGGGCTGGAGTTTGCTGACCTTTGGCATAGAAGGAAACAAGCTGAACAATTTCTTCATCTGTCTCATGGTAAGCTAAGTCATACCTTGAGGAAAAGTGGGTGAAGGGTTCCAGGGAGCCCGTCCATATTGTGGAAGTGTCCTTAAGGAAACTAACATCTGAGAAATACCAGTTCCCCTCAAAAAAAAAAATGTCATAGACTGAAGTTAATTTGAGTAGAATTGTGGAGAGATGCTTATTTTTGGAGATGTTGAGTTTGAGATAACAGCAGAACTGTCAAGTGGTGATCACCTAGTTACAGTGATGTCACAAACCAGGTCCCCACAACTGACTACGCATATTTCTCCTCAATTGTGGGTTCAGTGACCTCACAATGGTAGCTTCACACTGGCCAAGGTAGGAGTATTGAGAGCATGGGAATTGGCTAAAGCTAGAAACCTGAGTTTCCTCACCCTTGCCATAAGGCACTTGTCAAACATTTACCAGCACAACACTGCATATAGAACGTGTGAAGGGTGGACCTGAAATACAGTTGCCGGTAGGACCCAGTGAGGGAGACATCTGCTTGGAGTTGAGAGCTGAACTTTTGACAGTGGATGTGTCTACTCAGCATGGGTAGGAAAAGAGAAAAGTAACCAAGGTGAAATATTGGGGGACTATTTATAGTTGATGTATGTTGACTAAGCAGGCAGCAGAGACTTGGATGAGAGATGAAGAAGTAGAAGGAGAATGGGGAAGAGGCATTATCGGTAAGTGGCCATTACTCACTACCTGTGATGTCTTGGCAAACATCAGAAAAAGACAACTCTTACTCCTGGTTGATTATAAAGCTGCTATCATTAGTTTCACAATGCATTCATATGCTTCTGCATACGCCCCCCTATACAGATTGAGTCGAGGGGGGGAAAGAGACTCTAGGACTGTGAGGACATTCCAAATGGACCCAAGGATTTTCCCTCTAAATCTTCCTTCTTGATCTGACAGGCTATTTGAGGCAAGAAATGGAGATAGAATTTGGAACAGCTTATGTAAATCCAATAAATCCTAATACTAAAGATTAAAAAACCCCATATTTTACATTATTGCTCTTTAACTGACAAGGAATCTAGCTGTGCTGTAGGTTAAAGTTTTGGACTACAGTCCTAGCTGAGAAACACAACAGAGGAATCCCCACCCCCCCCCAAAAAAAAAAAGGAAAAGAAAAAAAACTGGATACCCCCAAAGAAAAAACCAGAAAGGGATGAGTTTATTAGTTATAGTCACATAGTAGACATCAAGTAGTGCTTACAACTGCCCCTGTGGCCTCCTTATTTTGAGGTGAGCCATCCCTAACTCAGTAAGGACCTTGTTCTCTTCCCAGGGGATTCTGAAGCTCACAAAAATTCTGCTGCCTTTGTAGTCTACAGGCCCGCTGACTTGAGAGCTCCCTTTGACCTCTCCCCAAGGCCAAATCCCTACAAGGCCCCAGACATATAATGAAGCTCTTTACTTGCTAGTCCCAGCCCCAGACCCAACCCTGAGGAGACCAAATGAAGCCACAGGTGAGGTCCCAAACACCAGTGCTGGTGAGGCCCACCAAAAGCTTCATTCTCCTTATACCGCGCTTTGGTCTCTAAATGCTGTTCTGTTTTTATTTCCCAAGTTTTCTGTGCCATGTTGGAGGTTTGTGAGGCTAATCTGTCTACCTGTCTACCCTGCTGGGATCTAGGCAATTGACAACAAACACAAGGAGTTAGATATATATCAATGTCTCACCTTTACTGCCTCTTGTCAGTGATGATAAAATATATTAATAGTTTGCTAGATATTTTATTTTGTATTATATTAATCCTTAGAGCAAGCCTATGAAGTAGGTATTAAGAATATTTTTATTTTATACGAAGAAAATGAAGGGACAGAAATGTTGACTGCCTTATCCAAGGTCAGACAGGAGGTGGCAGATTCAGGATCAAAATCCATACACTCTATTGTCTCCCTGCTTGTATCTAAAAAACAAGATTCTCTCTCTTTTTTTTATGGTTTAAATGTGTATTTAGGAAATGTAATTAATAAAATGTTTTATTTATTAGTGATGGTAAAGATAAATAACCTTTTACAATTTTTAATATCTTAAGGAAAGAATAAAAGATTATATAATCTTTGCAAAATTATTCATCATTTTTTGTACCAATACAATTCTACAAAATATTACAGTTGTAATAGTGATTTCCTTAGTAATGTTTTCTTTTTTTCTTTTTTTAAACATTGTTTGCTTCCCCCCACCCCCTCAGATTGAGTCCCCATAGAATTTCCTTCCCCAAGGCACCTGTGCACCATCACCACAGTCCCCTGTGCTCTTCCCTCCTCTCTTTGCTCCCTCTCCCTCCTCCGCCCCTGCAGGATGTCTCTGGTTTATAATTGTCTGCTTTTGCTTTGTTGTGTTTTGTACTGTAAAAAACAAGATTCTCTGTTAAAGATGGACTAGAGGATATGGTTTTTAGGCATGAGATAGAATGCAGCTTCTGACTATCCCAAGCGAATGAAGGAGTTTTGGTATTGAGTGTCCCCATCCAGATGGGCTTACAGAATGAAGACCAGAAGTTAAAAAAAAAAAATACTAGGGAGAAATGATACAAGGCCCACATTATCCTTTCAATGAAGTGACCCCACCTTCTGGTTAATATGACCCAATTAATGCTCGCTCTTCCTCTGTTGGAGAGGAGCAAATGTGGGATTCTAATGCTTTTCCCTTCTGGGCCTTGGCGCAGTAGCCCTCGCACCATGGAGATAAGAGGTGGGGAATGGGTGTTTCTTGAGGCCCTCCAAAGTGTGTTCAATCTTTTGCAAGCCCCCTGTGATAATGGATGGAAAGTGGCTGGTGCATGACAGGCACTCCATGCATGCTATTTCCCGTGGCTCCCAGTCCATTTGGATAGTCCCTGCCTGCTCATGTACATGCGCAAGACGAGGCTTCCTCCCCTGGCTTCCAGCATCTGCCTTTCCCATAGCCTGTTTGTTAACTGCTGTGATGTGCAGCTCTTCAATTTCACCTATTCTGGTTTTCTGTCATCTGTTGGCAGGTGAATCAGACAATAAAGAGAAAAGGAGTATAGTGCAAGCGCTATGAAGAAAGTGAAACATGGTAATGGGAGAGAGTGGCTGAGGGAGAGGGCAACATTAGTAGAAATGCCAGCAGAGAAGGCCGCCCTGGGGAGATAACACTGCGCCGAAACCTGGTGATGGGAAGGATATGGCCAGGCAAAGAGATGGGAGAAGGGAGTCCCAGACAGAAGGAGTAGCAAATGCCAAGGCTTTTGCTTGGAGCCAAGGCTCCAAGCCGGGACTGAGTTGGCAGGTGCAGAGAATATAAAGAAGGTCAGGCTGAACGGAATGAATCTAGCAGCCGGGGAGAGGTGAGCTTGTGCTAGGAGGCGGAGAAGCAGGCCGAGTCTGGACCACCAGCACCTCATGGGCCATGGCACACAGTTGGATTTGATTCCAAGGACGGTGGGCAGTCCCTGGTGGGTTTCCCACTTGGCTTCTGAACTTTGCCTTAGTGACTTTTTGTTCTGCCTCCAATTCTTGCTATAATCAATGGTGTCTAGTTTTCATTGTCCCAGGGAACTCATTAGATCTCCAGTGGTTTAGAACCTTCCATTCTGTGCTGTCTCTGCCCCTCCCAATTCCACCTCTCCCTGTCCTGGCTGTGAGAGACAGTTCCTTACAGTTCTCAATAGGGGAAAAATCCAGATTCTGGGATCAGATCAGAAAAGGACTCCCTGTGTAATGAAAGGCAACATGAATCTTCCTGGAGTGGTTAAGCGCAGCAGCACCCCTAAGATGGATAGAGCTGTGACGGTGCGCTGCCCAGGTGGGGGTGTGTCTGAGTACCAGACAGGGAAATATCCACAGGAGGCCATCCATCTCAGAGGGAATTCGTGGGTGATAACCCACAGTAGTGCCAATTTCCACATGTGTCTCTCATGAGGACATCTCAGGATGATGGAAGCTCTTGGTGTCTGATAAGTTTTGAAAAAGGTGAGTTAGAGATTTGGGATTTTTCTTTGTGTCCAAGGGACAGAGATAATGTGTGGAGACTTTGAATTCTCATAAAGGTGAAGTAGGGGGAGTGAAATTTATGTTCCATCAGCTGGGGTAAAGTTGCTTACAGAACTTTCTAGGATTCTATGTGTACCAGATTGCTTGAAAAAAAATAACCACTTCCATTTGCATCATGCTCTCCAGTTCATTAAAAGGTTTTCGAACATAAAAAATGCTAAGTGGTAAATATTATTCTCTTATACAGGTCAGAAAAATCAAGGCCAAACTAATTATTAATTACAGTACACGAAGACTTGAACCTACATTAACATGGATGCAGTTTATCTATCCATTAACATGGATGCAGTTTATCATTTTCTCTTCTTAAAGACTTGTATAACGACGTCAGGGTCTTTCCTGGTGACCAGGATAGTGGACCTGCTTTCTGGTTGTTGGATAGTCCTATCACCTATGAATAACTTGGTGATCCGGGTTATCAACCTGTTTATTGTGAATTTGGCTATTTTGATTCAGTCGCCCTGGAGTCTGGGGAACCTGGCACAACCAAGGTGTCCTGGAGATAGAGTGCCAGACCTTGGATTGTAGTGACCATACAACAGTTTAGAAACCCTCACAAATCCTGCCTGGAAAATTATCTGCTGACCTTTTCCAAACTACCTTCACTGTAAGATCACTCAACTGTTTCCACTTTGCTTTCAAGCTACTTGAAAAAGAGCAAACTAATTTTACTTAGCCAGTTTGCCAGCTGGAGATACAACGTGTCATGGGGAGCTGATTAAAATGAGGTGGTAGTTTAAAAACCAGCCATTTGACCTTAACTGTGTTTCTTCCAGCTTTTACAAGTCATCGTTGAAGCTGCAGGTAAGTGATTTGCTGGCCTAGCTCTGGAGAGGGTTTATATATTGTTCATGTGGTCATAATTCTTACCCATTTTCCTTTCATCTTTTTCAGTTAGGGGAATAATTACAGCCTGGGGCTCCTGCTTTTTAGGTGTTATTACGTGACCCACTGAAAAGCCCAGTCTGTCTGTCCTTCCTCCTTCCTTCCTTCCTTTCTCCTTTTAATGTCTCTTTGTTTAGAAGAAAGAGATCAATTTTTGAATTGATTTCAAATTGCATTTGAATTTGGAAAATTAAAACAGATGAACAGCAAAATACCATTATTTTTAGCTCATAAGACAAAGCCTGGCTGACTTGGGGTTTTGACTATTGGTTCTTATAACAAATGGCTCCTTTAAGATGGCACCAAAGTCAATACTAATGGTTATTATGATTAAGTACAGCTCCCTTGGCGTCCGTTTCCTGCTCTCTGGCTTCCCTCTGCTCTCTCCAGCGCACACGCATGGATTCAGTAAAGTCGTGTCCCTGAGATACACACAGGCCAAAGAGAGGAAGTGTGTTGCTGGTACGTCCACCTCCCTTTCTGTCTTCCTCTGCCTATCAGCTCACCGTCCTGCCCACCCCCCCAGGGATCTTACCCCTGCCCTACTCTTGCTCTCCAAAAACCTTCTAAGCTTAAGGCATCTCAAGATTCCAGGTAGGCATCCAAGAGTGAAAGCAGAGGTACGATTTTGGCCACCTCAATACTAAAATCATATTTGTATAAACTCTACATGCTACTAAGTACTTTCTCATCCATTCTTATTGTTTTATCTCCAAATAGTATTTTGAGATAATTGATATTACTTCATATAAAATGAGGAAACTGAGGCTCGAGGAGATTGCAATTTGTCCAGTGAAACACAGCTGGTCAATGGCAAGCTGCCACAGGAACCCAGCTCACTTGACTTGAAATTTCCTGGTTTCTGTTCCGTCATGCTGTCACGTAATCCTTTATCCCTCCAATTTTTTGAGTCTTAATTGCACATGATATTGTGGGGAATGAGCGGGGGAGTGCATCAGATACAGCCATGTCCTCACTGGAGGATTTTATATTCTGAATATGTAGAGAATATAAATATTTAGAGACAATAGAGTATACATTAATGAAAATATTTTAAAAATTACAACTCATTAGAAGTGCTATGAAAGAAAACTGAGGAAAGGAATTTTGGTGTAGGAGTTCTTTTAGATAGGCTTATTGAATATTTAGACTGAGGCCTGAAGGTGGAGAAGACCTAGTAATGAGGGGTTAAGAAGGCGAGACCCGGTGCAGACACGATGTGAAAAAGGCCTTGAGGGAGGCATATTCTTAACACACAAATGGTTGCCTGTCCTGCCCACTGGTCCTCAGAAGCCATGTTCTGCACACACCATGCTCCAGTGCCTGATGAAGCCTCCTCAGGAGTGGTTGCACTGTGCCAGCCCTCTGCCCAGACTCGCTTACCTCTGGGCTCATTTCCTTGCTTACTTTAAGAAAGGTCCTTAGAAAGTAGGCTGGCTGGCTATTTGTGAGAACTCCCCAGGGTTTGCTCTTGAAAGTGGCATTTCTTCCAAGTTGTACCTTTAGCCTCGCCTGTCAATTTTAACAAAAACTGTGTCCCAAGTATGAGATTGTGAATGATTTGGGCACACCCATCTCCACTGTGGGAGACACAGCTTGTGGGGGCCACACTGACAAAGGGTCACGAGGAATTCACTGGGGGGGATAGTGAAGAACACAACAGTGAAGAGCACAGTGCATGTTTGCAAGGATAACGGGCATCATTTTGCTAGGGAATTTGCCTTTCCACTATGACAGATGGGTGCTTTATGCTTAGTAGGTGTCAAACAATGTAGGGATAATGCAGGAATCAGGTGTAACTGTCTACTTGGCTCACTGGTAGCATTCCTCGCCAGATGTTTCTAAACCAAACACTGTGTGCCCTTGCATGTTCCAGATCTTCTGATAAATGCAGAAATATTCCTCATGGTCTGCTGTGAAGGGGCTGCAGTCTGCATGAGGAAACAAACCATGAACATGTTTATTCAAACATGTTTTCCTCCATTCCTATTGTTATTTCAAATGCAAGGTGTTGGCTAGAGAAGCACAGAGTTCAGGAAAGGGGTACACTTTCTGAAAGCTGTCAGATGGGACACTGGGCTGGAAGGGTGGTAGGAGTTGGATTTGTGGAGAACAAATGCAGAACAACAGCCCAGGAAGGCGGCATTGCGATGACCTGGAGATGGTCAATTTGGCCCTTTGGAGGAGGGATCTGTGTTGCAGTGATGTGCAGACAAACTCACGGTTAGAAAAGGTTCAGGGAGAGAGATGCACCTGCTGTTGTGCTGATACTGCCCTTGGGCAAGAAATCTGAAGTGCTCTTGCTTTCTCTGATCCATGCGCCCTTTTCAGGATTCTATATTGCATATTAAGATTTGTTTCCTCCTTCAAGGGTACCCTTAAAATTTGTTTATGCTCATGTTTCCTGAGATGGGTGGTGGTAGTGAGCTCTGTGTGTGTGTGTGTGTGTGTGTGTGTGTTGGAGGAATGATGTGGTTGAAGTTCAGGCATATCACTTTCTTTGCTGTAGACGTTCAAGGATGACCATGAGCTTTGTTACACATTAGAGTGGTCCTGGTATGAGCAAGGGGTGGAGGTGGAATAAGTGTCATTCAGGCTTAAGGAGGGGGAGGGGTATGGGAGGGGATGGTCACCACAAATGAAGAAACTCAGCACAATTAAGAACTCTACCCAGCAGCCTTAGAGCTGGTCACTAACACTGTGTGGATGCAAAAGTTACAGGAGGAGTTCATGTCCTCACAAACCGTTGGTACAGCCGCAAAGACACAGTGCACAAATGGAAATAGCATCAGATAGCAGGGATCAGCACCCACATTCCATGCAGGTCCCCAGGAAATACAGGGAGGCAGATGAGGGTTGGGTAAAATAGCGACCTTCTAACCATTCTTGCTGTTCACCAGTGGAAGGGTGATGGGCTTCCTCCCAGTCAAGGTGTTCTGAGGTGGGATGCCTCTCTCTGTGGGATATTGTAGTCCAAACACAGCAGACTGCCTGACCTGCAAGGGTCCCTCCCCTCTGAGAGTTTGGGAGCAGGCAGCTTCATCCCTTTTCACTGACCTCCCGCTGAGAGGCTCATGGGAGCCATCTGTGATGGAGTCGAAGGCCTCACCAGCCATTTGGAAGGACTCACTAGACTGAGAATTCACCCCTGGGCTCTGTGGCAGGATCTGCACCTGAGTAGGAGGAAAGGCTGCTGAAGGCGTCACTGATGTGACTGCTTCAGGGCTGCTCTGGGAAAGTGGTTTCAGCCATCTCTCCTTATAGCCAGGTGTCAGGCAAAATGTGTGGCAAGTCATCTCATCCTTGGAGGCGCTTTGCTTTTTAAGCCTAAAGCCTGGGAAAGCTAGAACTGAAAGATCCCCTGAGGGAATCAGCTGCTGGTTTAGCTCTGCGGACCTTCCCATCCAGCTAATGAGGAAGGCCTGATGGAAAGTGGCAGAGGGAAATTGAAAAACAGAGGAGCACCTTTACCCACAGCTTTAACCTTCTACCTGCTCTGCTAAAAGGCTACAGCCTGGACCCTGATACTCCTGGGAGGAAGCAAAGCTCAGACCTTAAGCACCCCCAGGGCCTTCTGAAGTGAATTCTGGGCTCCTTCCCTGGTACCAACGTTAGGTTCCTGGACTGGAAAGATTCATAAAGGCTCAGGGCTCCATGGAAGGCAAAAATCACTCCCCCATTCCTCACTCATCCAGAGTGAAGTTCATGGAGCTGGAATGAGCTCTCTTAGAGGAAGGTAAGATAGGACTGGAGTTTCCTAAATGTCTTGGGTATGAAAGAAAGGCAAGGAAGCCTCCTTGTTTCTGGATGTTGCAGTTCTTGGCTGTGATCTGGTTCTCCACTAGATCTAAAGGAATGATCACAATGCTTCATTTTCATGAATGATCTAATTTAATTTTACATTGCTAGCAGAAACCCGGAGGGACCCACTTATGGGTGAAAAGAGGATCTAGACTCTGAAATCAACTTGAAAGCAAGGAATCTGACATTTATTGAAGGGCCACTATACATTTACCCTAATGGTGAGGTACATCCCAGCTCCTCTCAGTGGCACTTTATACCTCAATGGTCCTGCTACTAGTTTACCTGGTTTCCTTCATGCCTACCTCTTGGGGAAAATGTGTTCAGTAAGTGGGTGTCTGCACGAGGCAGGACAACCTTTCATTTGCTTTCAGTAGTAAACTGCCTGAGAACTTGACTTCCATGAATTGTATGGCCCTCAGCTCTGGCTTGACCTGGCAATGGAGTCTGATTTGGCCTCAGTTTTCCTGGCAGGAGATCTTATAAAGGGCCAGGACATCCAGGATCACTCAGAGTTGCCCTAGGTCAGTGAGGTCTGCCTCTGGGCCAGCTCACTGGAGAAAGCTTTTGTTATTCTGATATAAAGGCACTTGACATAATAACTGCTCAGAACCAGGTGTGGCCTGGATTGCTCTTGTGGAGGACTCCCTAAAAATTTCCTGTGCCTGGGAGATACGCAAGCACACGGCCACAATTTTGTTAAACTCTTCATAGGATTTCAACATCAAGGCTCCGATACATGCTTCCCTTGGCATCTTCATCACTCTGGGTTCTCCTTTCTCTGTCTCCTCTTTTCTCCTTATTGAAATATGTTTCTAATCTTCCAGGCCTCTCAAACGCATCGGTGTTTCCTGCTTCAGTGGTCCCGGTGGAGTCACTCATTCTGTATTTAATGTATTCTGCACTTTAAATGGGCCTGTTAATTACTCCCTCCTCACTCTGAATTTACTAATTTATTGATCAAATTTCTTTTTGTGCATGTGAGTTTTATTTTGTATGTGCAAAGAATTTATTTGGATCAATTTTATTGACCCCCCTCCCACCCCTGCCTCCCAGGATACTTTCCCAAACTTTAATTAAGTCTCTGGGAAGTCTCTTTGCTTAAAGGGGAGGCTCTTGCTGCCTCCTCTTGTAAGCATTGGGAGCATCTGAGTGCTCTGGGCTAAGGTGGGGTCTCCCTGCATTCTCCTGTAGGTGGATAGTTGAAAGGGCAATTAGGGTGGAGAACTAGGGGCAGGGCCTCCCAAAAGTGTGGTCCCCAGAACTGTAGCCTCAGAAACACTTGAGAACTTGTTACAAAAGCAAATTCTCAGACTTCATCACAGCACTACTGAGGTGCAAATCTCTGGCTATGGGACTGGCAACGAGTCTTGGGGGGGGGTGGGGAGGTTCTGATGCATACTAAAAATTGAGAACCACTGCTCGAGGCCGCTATTGCCATCTTGTTGCCAATGAATCTTTGTTTCGGGGGCTGTCCTCTGTGTTGTATGTTATTTAGCTGCCATTGGCCTTTAGACTCATCGGATGCCATTGGCACCCCCATTGGCAATCAAAAATGTCTCCAGGCATTGCCAAACCTCTCCAGGGGAATAAATCATGCCTGGTTGAGAGCCCCTGAAGTAAGGGTTTAAAGCACCACCACCCGTTCCCTCTCTAAAAATGTCTCCTCTGTATTTCACTCAGAGACTCATATATCAGATAAAAGAAAAAGACCTTCGCTCTCTGTTCTCTGGCATAGATCTTGTTTCAGTTTGTGAGTCACGTGTATATTTCCTACCCAAGTATTCTCTCATGGGCTAGGCAGATAATAAACCCAAATGCCAGATTTGTTTTAACAGCTTGTTTAGTCTCCTAGGATTAATGCTGCATTTCCTGGTTTCTGTACAAACCTTAATGTTTCCAAAGGTGATCTGATTTTTTATTTCCCCCAATGTCTTCAGAGTATTTACAGTTTATGAAAGAAGTGGGGGTGTGTCTGGAGTATTCAGAGAGTGTCATCACTAAGAAGAGGAGTGGGAGTAGGGACTAGACAGCAGCTTCTGTTCAGCCTCCTCTCCCTGCTGAGACCCCCAAAATGCAGCTGTAAAGTGGACAGGTAGGAGCTAATGTGTCTCCAGCATATGGGTTTGGTTGAATGAATTTGCTTTTGGATAGGTCTGTCTCCTGCAACCTGCTCTCGGCATGTCCATCCCTGGTGTATGCCAAACCTGCCCTTCTCTCCCAGGTCTGAGTGACTCTGTCTCAAGCCCTGATGAAACACCACTGTTAGTATAGGGAACACGAATGCAGAAAGGGAAGCATTGGGTGTAGGTATGGTAGCGCCACTCTCAGCTCTAGCATCTGGTCCATGGGGAGGTGGTGGGGGGTAGTCAAGGAAACCTGCTTCCCAATGCAGAAATGAGCTGGGACATTCAGTTCAGTTTTTTTTTTTTTCCACCAGGCCAATCTGGGAGAGGAAGTGTCTACTCCTGAGTGGTACCCTTAAACCCATAGGGCATTCTCCCCCCATCCTTACCCAGGCCAGATGGTCATTTAAGAGGCAGCCAGCTGGAAGGCTTTCCATGGTGCCAATTAAGACAGGTCTTCCAGTATAGCTAGAATAAACCAGTAATATAGAGCTGTTTTTTTTTTTTTTTTAGGTTTCCATCTAGGACCTCACATAACTAGTGACAATGGAAATTTGTTCTGCTCCTTTCAAAGTAGCCAACATCCTCAGGCAAAAATTAAAAAGAAAAACCTACCACCACCGACTTTACAGTTACAATCAGTTGACATTCTGATACCTAAGGATGTATGACATGGTGCTGATAATGAGAGCAGAAGATTTATTAACTAACCTTTAACCCCTTAGTATGACTTTCAAGAGATTGTTTGGTTCAGAGATTTGCAAAAGAGAAATGGAGAGCAAGAATAAAGAAAAGTAGAAACTATGCTGCTAAAATAAACCAGCCAGTGGGACTAAATTAACAAATGACTCTGGTTTTATTAATAGAAAATCAGCCCCTGCCCCCACTAAATTAATGTTATACAGATACTTGGAGTAAGCCCAGAGCATTCTCAAGTCTCAAATCTTCCTTGCCCAGGTTGCAGAAAGCATTTAAAAATGAACTGCTCTCATTGGCTCAGGGGTTAAGCCTTTCAGACCCCTCCTAACTTCTCACTGCCTGCTCTATGCTTCGCTGTGTGTGCCTGTTTTCAGCACCCGTGACTTCCTGTCTTGGCTCTTCCATCTCAACTTGCTTTCTTTAGACTTGGTAGCCGGATTCTCATAGAAGCTGCCAGTAGAAATTGTCCCATGCTCAGGTCTTTAGAAATTCTGTTCATGTGCATCTGCAGCAAAAATGAATCTCAGGCCCACACTCAGGTGTGCATAAAATGTAGCTTTCTTAATTTTCTCTAAGTTGTTGTGGAAAAAAAAAAGTGCAGACTCAGAATTTTTAACTAAAGCTTTGCTGTTTGTAAGGAGTATTTGATGGGAAGGAGGCAGAGGAGTACTTATGAGTCAGAGGCTGGGATTCCCTGTACCGCCTGATCTTGACAACAGAATCTCAGGCTGTTTCTTTATATGTGAGTGCAAGTCCCCTTCCTAATAATTGTCTTATGGTGGCAGGGGAAGATGATCCTGTGATCCTCAGATAGAGATGGTGAGACCTTGTGACATCCACAAGCTGTAAGAAATAGTCACAAGTTATGCTAAGTGAAATAAGCCAGAAGGAGAAAGATAAATACTGTAGGATTTCTTTCTTTTTTTTAAAGATTTATTTATTTATACAAGCACTGGGGTATAGGCCAGAGGTGTGGGAGGGCAAGAGAATTCACCCAAGACAGAGCAGGGAGCAGAACAGGCAGAAGGACTGAAACACACTTCTGAGGGGAGCAGTGGGCGCGATAGGAGAGGTCTGCCTCACCATGTGGGAATCTCCCTGCCTGGCTGGGAATCGAACCAGCGCTGCAGAGGCTGCGGACAGCTCCATAGCACGGTGCTCAATCGGCTGTGACACCCGGGAGGCCCCAATATTGTATGATTTCACTCAAATATGGAACATAAAGAAACAAAGGAGCAGACAAAACTAAACCAAAGCAAACCCTAGAAATCTGACCAAGGTTACCAGAAGGGAGGGTTGGGGGTTGGGGAGTAGAGGCGGAGGGATCTAGTAGACTATGAGGGATGATTATAGGTGCCTTGGCAGTGCATGTGATGTGGTGACAGACATCTGAAGAGGTGGGAACCTATACCCCTAAATCATATATGGTGTAGCAAACCAACATTACTGCAATACAAAATAAGATTAAAAGAAGTAGTCTTAAGGGCCTCCCTGGTGGCTCAAAGAGTTAAGATGCAACCTATGAAGCTATCTGTAGCCACTGCAGCACGAGTTCAATTCCCAGGTAGGGAGCTACCCCATGGCGCAGCAGACCTCTCCTGTCTCGCCTGCTGGTCCCCTCAGCAGTTTATTTCAGTCAGTCTGCCTGTTCTGCTCCCCACTCTCTGGTGAATCCTATCATACACACACCACACCTCTGGCCTGTACCTCAGTTCTTTATGCATAAATGAATCTTTAAAAAAAAAGTAGTAGTCTTAAGTTAGCTAATTTCCAAAAGGCTATTTGAAAGAGGTGCTGGTAATGCCCTGTGTTTGTCTAGCGAAATGTTAGGGGTCTGTTTTCTGATACGTTTCATCATCTAATTATTGATGTGGGGCAATTCCTTTTAATGGAGTTATTTTCCTCCTCATATTCTCTCCCCAGTAGATTTGTGAGTCCATGGGTTTTCACCTGTATATTAACTTGGCTGTGAATGTGCTTTGCCAGGGATTCCATGTGTTAGCCACCGTGTGAGACACTCTCGGGAGATGGACAAGATGGGAGGCAGGAGAGGAAGCCCTGCTTGGCAGATCATGGCTAATACGGTGGTGAGCGAGGTGCAAATGGTTAGCAAGACTCTGGCTGGTATTAATTAGCTCATTTATTTCCCAGTTCATGTAACTTGACCTGAGATTTTTACTCTTGCATTTCTCCGAGATGCCATTGTGATAGTCTATGAATTCTGTATGCCGAGATAACCCCCTTTGGAAACCTAGGCTTTGACATTCTCAACTAGGTTTTGAGCTCTAAAGTTGTATTTGTGTTTTGCAGAACAATTATTTGTCTTGTTTTTGTGGGTTGAGTGCTTGACTTCTGGTTAATGGGTGGGGCTAATTAGCAATTATGTGTATGCTTCTGTTGAGAGGCCTGGAGCCCACTACCTGGGTGGGTGTGTTAACAGCTGAATATTTGTGTCCTGCCTGACAAATTCTTTTTTTAATAATTAGAAACAATTTACTTTTTTTAAGATTTATTTTATTTATATAAGAGCTGGCATACAGGCCAGAGGCGTGGGAGGATGAGAGAATTCATCAGAGACAGAGCAGGGAGCAGAACAGGCAGACAGACTGAAGACACTGCTGAGGGGAGCAGCAGGCGAGACTGGAGAGGTCTTCTGCACCTTGTGGGTTGCTCCCTGGCCGGCCGGGAAACGAACCCGTGCTGCAGAGGCTGCGGACATCTTCACAGTGCTGCGCTCAACCTGCTGCGCCACTGGGGAGGACCTGCCTGACCAATTCTTAATTGAAACATAATCCCCAGGTTGTATGTACATGAGGGTCAGACCTTTGGTAGGTGATTAAGTCATGGGAGTGGGGCCTGTATGAATGATAATAGTGCCTTTATAAAAGAAATTTGGAGAACTTCCTTACCTGTTTTCATCATGTGAGGACTCAGGGAGAAAATGGCCATCTCTGAACCAGGATGCAGAGTCTTGCCAGACACTGAATGTCCTGGTACCTTAATATTGGAAGTTGGCTCTCCCTAGCTTCCAGAACTATGAGAAATAAACTACCCACTCTATGGTATCCTGTTATAGCAGAAGACATCTTGGTTTCTGGTAACTTCACAGGATCTGGTACCTCTGAGTGTGAGGTAGTTTCTTGGGAATTTCTTTGCATACACCTAGTGTTCCAGCTGGCATTGATCTCTTGGCATGGCATCCAGTGTTGGTCTGACAGCCTTAGGCACTCTGAAAGGAAAGGTAGACATCAGCCCTTGAGTATAAGGCTGCAATACCTCCTTCAACATTGGAAGGAAAGCACTGGACCACTTTCTTGCTGGAGGACAGTTACATGAAGGCTGACTTGTGACTTGCGACTCAGATTCATCATAATTTGAGGGACCTTAGGCCACTTACGGTCTGTTTCATGGCCAAATGCACTTAGTCCTTATTTAATAAATCACAGGTTTTGCTTTTACTTTTCCTTTGCCAGAGCTCTGAGGGTGGTAAAGAATATGTGTTTGAAATTTGATTTTTACAGTTAGAAATACATGTTGGGATTTTTGTCCTGTAAAATAAAAAGCTTGGCTTGAGCTCACATTTAAAGGAATTCCACAGGAAGAATGTATTTCTGGAGCATTTTCAAAAACTCTAGTAAGAGCATCGTCCTTACTGCAGAAGAAAGCCTTGGGCCATCCAGAAAAAGCCACACTTCAGCTAAGACATGAGAGTATGCCGCTTCCTGGAAACAGTCAATAAAACCAATTTGCACGTGGGTAAAGGTCCTTCAACTTCAGCTGTGTCCTATATCACCTTTGTAGTATCTTCTCTGCATTATAAACAGCACAAAGTGGGTCGTGCACACATGCATACACTGATAAGATGCTCTATGGGAAAATCCAGTATAAGTTCAGCATATTTTATTTATTCAATCGCACTTCCTTCAGCGATGTTTTAAATGGACTGCTGTGACAAGACAGGAAAGATGGGCTTAGAAGCCACAGGATTCCCATCAGGGACAAGGCAGGTTGCTATGTGGATGGGACAGGTAGGACCTGGGGACAAAATAGAGGGACATCTGCAGTGGGCTCACTGTGTGGGAAGCGCTGTTAACAGCTGTGTTGTCTTGAGTAGGTCCCTTTCTAGTGCTTGAGCTATCTGATCTACCAAACAAATCTGCCTGGGAAATAAAAATATTTAATTTTAAAGACAAATTTCTAAGAGTGCTTTAGTGAAAGGTGTGGTGTGGTGTAGCAATCATCTGAAGAAGTGTGACCTGTACCTCTGAATCATATACAGCATTGTAAACCAATGTTACATCAATAAAAAATTAAGTAAATTTAAAAAATGACAAGCCTGTGGGATCTTAGATGGTTCAATACTGAAAATAACATAATAAGATTTCACTTTGAAATCAAAACTCCCAATTAATGAGACATTTTGGATTAGAATTACAAGGGCTGTCACAGGGCTTCTTTCATGTATTACAAATATATAGAATATTAAGTGTGGCTAGAGCTTTCTTATTTTAAATATCTCTAATTCTAAATCATCCCACATAAGGAAGAATTACCATACCAGCTACATGAGCCTATTCACCACCAGAGATAGAGGTCTGGTGGATTTTCCTTTTCAACTCTAACAAGACGTCTTGAACCTTGTTTATTGTTGCTCTGTGAGTGATTTCATAACCTTCGGAGGTAAGTGATCACCACCTTAGCCCACTCCTTGCATTAACATTTTATACATTACATAAGTTGTCTGTGGCTTCTATCCTGGTTGATAAAATCTTATGATGTTTGAATGTGTTTCTCCTCACTCTAAAGAACTCGGAAATTGATGGATCCTGAGATATGTTAATAACATTTACATTCACTCATATGGACCATATAAGCCTATAGGAAGATACTTAGATTTATACTCAATTGAATTCTAGATACTTCATTTGGCTTTGTCTGGTTTGAAACCACAGTTTTTGGGCTGTTTGGATATTCCCCTGAAGTCAGAGAATGTCTTTCAACTGATATATTTACCATTATAATTTCTATATTCTCTATTATACAGTAAATTAATCAATTATGCTTCATGAATGAGAAATGGCTCCATAGAAAATGCATTCTATTCTATTCACCTTTAAGAATTTACC